CCTAAAATCAAACCGTACTTCCCATTTCAATCGACGATTGCCGGAATCTTTAATACATGGCTCGTTGACCAATCTCTCCAGTCGCAATCAACCACCGCCATCTTTTTAGCCATATGAACGAACAAACTTCCAATGAAGATAGTTCCCATTTTGACGAATGACAGATGTGGAAATCCAAAAAAAAAAAGGAGAAGGGTCTTTGCTTCAGATGCGATGGTAAGTTTTCATTTGGGCACAAATGTGGGGAAAAGCAATTTCAAATCATTTTAATCGACGAAAAGGAAGACGATCCATACCTGATTGGTGGTGGAGAATGCGTTGAATCTGGAATGGAGCAACATCAGGAACAGGTTGAGCTTTCTCTTAGCTCAGTGGTGGGGATTCATGGTCCAAAGATAATGAAACTCAAGGGAAGAATCCAAGGTAGGGAATTGATTATGTTGATTGATAGTGGGGCTTCCCACAATTTTATTAGTTCAAAGGTGGTTGAGAGTTTGGGAATTTTCGTGGTGGGAACTCAGTCTTTTAGGGTCAGAGTGGGTGATAGGTATAAGTGAGATGTGAGGGAGAATGTAGAGATGTTTGCATGGAGCTACAAGGAGTGACGATTATTCAAAAAAAAATTCCATTTGACATGAGCAGTGCTGACGTAGTTCTAGGAATTGCATGGCTGGAAACTTTAGGTGAGACAACCACAAATTGGAGGAAGCAAACCATGAGGTTTAAACTGGGAGACCGGATTGTTTATCTGCGTGGGGACCCATCTCTTAACAAAACCATGGTTTCACTCAAGGTTATGATCAGGACGTTGCAGAGTGAAGGACATGGGTGTTTGATAGAGTTTGGGCAGATTCAAAAACAACGTGATAACAGTGGTGATGTGGATGATCGATTACTGGAGGTGTTGCAGACATTTAGTCTAGTTTTTGATCCACTCCCTAGATTACCACCTAGCAGGTCCAGGGACCATGCCATTCAATTAGTTTCAGGGACTCAACCACCAAACCTCCGACCATATAGGTACCCTTACTATCAGAAAAATGAAATAGAGCATATTGTCAAGGAAATTCTAGCTTCGGGAATTATAAAGCCAAGCATCAGTCCATTCTCAAGCTCAGTTTTGTTGGTGAAAAAGAAGGATGGGGGGTGGAGATTCTGTGTAGATTATAGGGTAGTTAACAAGGTGACAGTTCCGGATAAATTTCCGATTCCAGCAATTGACGAATTATTTGATGAGTTAGAAGGTGCGAAAGTGTTTTCTAAACTTGATTTGAAATCAGGTTATCACCAAATCCGAGTTAAACCAGAGGACACACACAAAACAGTTTTCTGGACACACGAAGGGCACTATGAGTTTATGTTAATGCCTTTCGGCCTCACCAATGCACCGGCTACTTTTCAAGCAGTAATGAATGATGTCTTCGAACCTTATTTAAGAAAGTTTTTGTTGGTGTTTTTTTTTTTTTTTTTTTTTTTGACGATATACTAATATATAGTAAGGAGATGGGTGAACATGCGAAGCATCTAAGCATTACTTTGCAGGTACTCTTAGACAATGAGTTGGTGGTCAATAAAAAAAAAATTGTAATTTTGGATAGTCACAGTTGGAATATTTGGGGCATGTAGTTTCAGCTAAAGGTGTGTCTGTTGACCCTTCAAAGATTGAGAGCATTATCAAATGGCCGACACCGAGAGACATCAGGGTGCTCAGAGGTTTTCTTGGACTGACGAGATGCTATCGTCGATTTGTTCGTGATTATAGAAAAATCGCCCTTCCATTCACTGCCCTATTAAAGAAAGACTCGTTTGTGTGGAATACAGCAACTCAAGGTGCCTTTGAAGAGTTGAAACAGCTCATGACCAGTGTTCCAGTTCTTCGGATGCCTAACTTCACTCAAGAATTTGTCATAGAGACCGATGCTTCCGGAAGTGGATTAGGAGTTGTGCTGATGCAAGAGGGATGATCGATTGCCTTTCTCAGTCAAGGTTTGTCTCTAAATTCCAAACTGAAGTCAGTCTATGAAAGATTAATGGCTATAGTTCTGGCTGTACAAAAGTGGCACCATTACTTGTTAGGCAAACGCTTTGTTATTTGGACAGATTAGCGTAGTCTTCACTTTCTAACTGATTAGAAATTATTGAGTGAGATCAGCAAAAATGGGTTATTAAATTGCTAGGTTAAACTTCATAATTCAGTATAAACCAGGGCACAGAACAAGGCAGCAGATGCTCTTTCTAGAATGCCAAACGTGGTAGACCATCATGCTATTTCCGTGGGTTGTTTTTGGGGACTGGACAGTTTGGAAGATGCTATTTAAAGTGATGACAGGTTACGCGGGATCATGCAACAGCTCCTAATCGACCCCAATAGTCATTATCCTTACAAATTGGTGGGCTGCCATCTGCTGTACCATAATAGATTGGTGCTACCAAAATCTAGACCTCACATCCAGAAAATTTTACAAGAATTTCACGCCTCGCCCATTGGGGGCCTTCGGGGTTCTTTTGGACATATAAGCGTCTCACAAATATGGTGTTTTGGAAGGGAATGAAGAACGACATCAAAGAGTTTGTGGCCGCTTGCCCTGTTTGCCAACAAAATAAATATGACGCAATGAGTCCAGCGGGTTTGCTTTAGCCATTGCCTATCTCTAACCAAGTGTGAGAAGATATTTCTATGGACTTCATCATGGGGCTTCCTAAAGCGAATGGGGTTGACACAATTTTGGTAGTAGTGGATCTTTTATCTAAATATAGCCACTTTTTAACTCTCAAGCATCCTTACACATCCAAAGTGGTAGCGGATCTGTTTATCAAAGAGGTGGTTCGATTGCATGGGTTTCCTCGTACCATTGTTTCAGCTCAGGATAAGGTTTTCATGAGCAACTTTTGGAGCGAATTATTTAAACAATCAAGTACCTAGTTACACATGAGTTCAGCATACCACCCACATACGAATGGTCAAACAGAGGTAGTAAACCGTTGCTTGGAGACATACCTTCTGTGCTTTGTCAATGGCCAACCACATTTATGGCCAAAATGGGTTCCATGGGCAGAGTTTTGGTTCAACACTACTTATAACCGTTCCACAGGAATGTGTCCCTTTAAGGCCATCTATGGCCGTGATCGGGCTGTCAGTCAAGCTGAGCTGCTCGTGAGCTGGCTCGGCTCGGCTCGGCTCGACTCGGCTTGACTCGTTAAATACTCGACTCGGCTCGATTATAATCGAGCCAAGCTAGCTCGAATTCGACTCGAGTAAGTTACCGAGTCGAGTTCGAGTCTACCCCGACTCGGCTCGATTCGACTCGCGAGCCAATAGTGGCTCGTTAAGGATTTTTCTGCGCATAAATACAAGTTTTTGGTTTTTTTTTTGTAATTTGACATGTAAAAGATTAAAAGGTTTAAAAAATCACAAATAAACCCTTAACCAAATAACCCCAATTAACCCAAAATCAAATCGTGTAAATTCATTCCCATAATCTCACCAAATCAAGAACCCTAAAACACGAGAACTACCAAATCACCGATAACCACCACTTCTTGTTGCCTTGTTCATCGCCGACGGCACTGATTTTTGCGAAGAATTTGTGAGGAGTTGTGTATCTTGACGGCAACAAGTTCGTTCCTTCATTTGTAGTTGGGTTTTGTTTTTGGATTATTGTAGTTTTGTTTGGTTATTTGTAGTTGGGTTAGTGCAGAGATGTTTAGAAAATTGTTTTGATTTGGTTTAGGGAAAGAACAACGATTGTAAAATTGGTTTTGGTGTGATCCGCAGCTGAATAATGAATGATGGTTATAGCTGTAGATCTTGTTCAGCTGTTGCCTTTGGCTTTCCCTTTTCATCATTTGGAGACCCCTTCAACTCTTTCTGCCTTCTTTTACATGTTTGTTTTTTTTTATCTCAATGCTTTACCCTTGCCTGCTTTTTAGTACCAAATAGTTTCCTTTTCAATAGTGGTTTGCATGTTGTAGTTCCAGCGTCTAGGTGCAGGAAGATTCAGTAGAGAATCTCCTCAATAGCAGTACAACTTTGTTGCTTGTTTTTGTACATACAGTGGCTTCTTTAGTAAATTATGGTCTGCCTTTGGTTTTCAGCATGTTGTGCTTTTTACCTTGTTGAAGACACACACTTGTAAGAGTTCACGCATTTCACATTTGTGCGAGTAAAACTAGAGGAGATTCTTGAAATGTGGGTTATGCACATAGAGAAACATTTCTTTTAGTCTCATGTTTATTTTCGAGGTGGACTCTTACCTTCCTGCAAATAAGTGAAAATTAGATTGGAAGAGATTTAGGCAGCCATCTTTATGTGAGAAATAATTACTCTTAAAATTTTCTCTACTAAGAAATTATTTCTTCTCTTTCCTACAGCAACAAAGTTGTGGCAAAATCTCTTTAAAGCTACTTTTAATTTAATCATAGCATGTGAGACATATTGGTTGGATTATTAATTAACTAAATTGAAGCATGCTGATTGCTGAGAGACCGCAATAGATAACAGGTTCATCCACTGTGAATTATAAGTATGCACATTTATGTTTTCTAAATAAATATTATATGACATATGTTTCGTTGTTTCTTGCTGAATGTAACACCATTTTTGTGGTTCAATAATGCATTTGAGTTGATTCTTATTGGAAATTTATGGTTTTTTGTATGAGCCTTAGTTCATTTATCATCCTGCATTCCTGTTGTGTCTACGGTTAGCTGCCCCTGTTTGTGTTGGCTGGGTTTTTTGCTGCCCCTATTTGTGTTGGCTGGGTTGATCTGCTCCTGTTTGTGTTGGCTACCCCTACTTTTACTGTTTGTGTTGGCTAGGCTGATTTGTTGTTGCCCCTGTTTTTGCTGTTGATTTTTTTTGATTTGTTGCTGCCCCTGTTTTTGCTACCATTTAGTTGCTAGTGCTAATGCTTTTTATTCATTCACCCCTGCTTGTTTTTTGTGGTTAATAAATTGTGTTAGGCAGGACCATTTACAAGTTTTATTTGTTTTTTACAGGTATGGCATCCAGCAGCCACCCGACATTAGATGAAACAATGAAGACGCAACCAAATGTTACTTGCTTGCCGAATGAGGATGCAAATGTTAATCTCTTTCAAAGGAGAAAGAGAACCAAGACATCTACAGTATGGGCTGAATACAAAGAAGTGGTCCTTCCTAACGATGAGAAGAAAGAAGAGTGTATCCATTGTAAATACAAGCTTCAAATTCATGCATCCGGAAGCACTACACATTTTGGAAGACATTTACAAAGGTGTGTGAAGCGAGCCGCTTCACGTAGACAACAACATATTAATTTTCCCCCTGCTAATTCTAGTGGGGGAACATCTGTCCTTCCTACTCTTACCGGTAAGTTCGACATGACGGTGATGAGGGAATTGATTGCACAATGGGTGCTTATGCATGAGCACCCATTTACCATTGTGGAAGAGGAGGGTTTGAACAATATGTTGAAATATGGGATTCCAGGATGGTCAAGGGTTTCACGCAATACATGTAAAAATGATTGTGCGAAGGTGTATGAAATGGAGAAACAAAAGTTGAAGACATTGCTAAAAGGTGTAAGGAGGATAAGTTTGACCACAGATTTGTGGAATTCTGACAACCAAAAGTTGGAGTATATGGTTTTGACAGGGCATTGGATAGATGATAATTGGAAGTTGAACAAACGGGTTCTTAACTTTGTTCGTTTACCTACTCCAAAAGGTAGTGTGCAGATTGCTGATGCAATTTACAAATGTTTGGCAGAATGGGAGATTGAAGACAAGGTCCAAACGATATCAGTGGACAATGTTAGTAGTAATGATGTGGCAATAAGGGTGTTGAAGCAAAATTTTACAATAACAAGGCAGTTGAGTTGTGGGGGTAAAATGTTTCATGTCAGATGTTGTGCACACATCTTAAACTTGATGGTGCAAGATGGTCTTTCACAGATTAGGAGAATCATCGACAAGATCCATGAGAGTGTGGTATACATTAATGGTTCAGAGGGTAGGCTGAAGTTTTTTGCAGAGATTGTGCAACAATTGCGTTTGCTATGTCGAAAACTTATCCTTGATTGTAAAACAAGGTGGAATTCAACTTATGACATGTTGGAAATTGCAATTAAGTTTAAAGAAGTGTTTCCAAGATACAAAGAAAGGGATGAGGGTTATGAACATTGTCCAGATAAAGAAGATTGGGTGAAAGTAGAGAAAGTCTGTGAGATTCTAAGGGTTTTTAGTACAATGACCAATATCATCTCAAGGAGTAATTATCCAACATCAAATGTATTTCTAAGGCAAGTATATAGGATCAAAATTTTGTTGGATAAAAAAAGTGAAAGTGAAGATGAATTTATTAGACAGATGGTGAGAAAAATGAAAGAGAAGTGTGATAAGTACTGGGAGCAATGTAATTTGTTGATGGCTGTTGCAGCTATATTGGACCCTAGGTACAAAATTAGGGTGATTGAGTTTTCTTTCCCTAAGATGTATTCTAACGTTGAGGCACGGGCAAATGCTACAACTGTTCGGGATACTTTGTATGAGGTATATGGGGAATATGCTAATGATTGTCAATCATCTAGTGCAATCCGCAGAGGTACAATTGAAAGGGTTGGACTTGAAGTAATTCCCGGGGGGTCTATGGGAGGAGCTGATGATTGGGAATTTGATGATTTTCTGGATGAGGTTGAAACTATTGAGCCAAATAAATCTCAGTTGGATATTTACCTAAGCGAGCCATGTTATAAGTGTCAGGGTGATTCGGAAAATTTTGATGCTTTGGATTGGTGGAAGGCGAATGCTTTGAAGTACCCTATCTTGTCTAGGATGGCTCGTGATATACTAGCTATTCCGATCACTACAGTGGCTTCAGAGGCTACTTTTAGCGCCGGTAGTAGAGTTATTGACACATATCGATCTTCGTTGTCTCCCGAAACAGTGGAAATGTTGTTATGTGGAGCTGATTGGTCTCGCATTTTAAATAGAGTGAAAAAAGGAATCACGGTACATTTTTAATAATATATTTATTATTTTATTCTACAATTACTCTTATTTCATTCGAACATTGATATTAACTTTTTTTGTTGTTTTAAATTTCAGATACAGAAGGAACCAGTGGAGATTCAACTTTCGGAAGTTTGAGTTCTATGCTGTTTTGATGATAATTTCGATGTATTTTGATGGACATTTGTGGTTTTTTTTCTTTTTTTTTGTCTTGGATTATATAATTTGTTGTGTAATACATTGTTTATGTTGATTTGGATGTGATTTTTGCTGATTTAGATGCAAATTTATTAAAAATTGGATCTGATTTGTGTAAAACAAGATGACAGGTTATATTAAAAAAAGGGCCAAATGAGCCGTAATCGAGTCATAATCGAGCTTGTGTTAAAGGAGCTGAGTCACGAGCCGGCTCGTTTATAAACGAGCCGAATTTTCCTGACTCGGTTGACTCGTGACTCGACTCGAACTCGTCTAATATTTAACCGAGCCAGGCTCGTTTAGGGTGATACTCGGTTCGACTCAACTCGTTTACACCCCTACGTGATGCCCCAACGGTGTTGCGCTATTCGGACTACACTTCTTCAGTCAAAGAAGTTGACCAGCAACTTCAGCAACACAACCATGTTCTGGACGAGTTAAAAGAGCATCTTCTCAAAGCTCAACACCGCATGATGACTTATGCTGATCACCATCGCCGAGAAGTTACGTTTGAGGTAGGGGGATCAGTATATTTAAAGTTACAGCCATACAGATTGAGATCTCTAGCTTGTCGATATAATGAGAAACTTAGTTTGCGGTTTTACGGTCCATTTGTCATAACAAACAGAATTGGGGTAGTTGCATACAGACTGGCACTACTGTCTTCAACTCGTATTCATGATGTTTTTCATGTTTCGTAATTAAAAAAAGCAACTTTTCCAATTCCCAATAGCCAACCTCTACTAGCAGCCCTAAATGAAGATCTCATTTTACAACTTGAACTTGAAGCAATACTTAAGAAAAGGAAACTCCTCAATGGACAGTGGGAGGTGCTAATTCAATCCAAAGGCTTACCCCCCCTTTGAAAACACTTGGGAAGATTTTGAAACTATCCACTACCAGTTTCCTTCTTTCCACCTTAAGGACAAGGTGGCTCTCCTTGCGGAGGGTAATGATGAGCAACTAAGGGGAATGGTCTACCGTAGGAAGAATAGTGGTAAGAAGCAGGGCAATATTTGCTATGCAGGAGGTTAGAATTTGTTATGAGGGGACAGGTGGCCTGATAGGATTGGAAGGAAGAGCGATTCTGTTAGGAGCAAAAAGGTGTCAGGAGGGAATAAAAGGAGGAGGAGAAAAGGGAGGGGATATTGAGAAAGAAGATTAAGGTTTGGAAGGGAGGTGACTGGCCCCCGAAGTTTAGTCTTATCGTTACTGTTTTCTTATTTTTTCTTAGTCTTATTTTGCTGTGATTCTAGTTTGTTGAGTTGTTGATTGAACATGGTCTAGATGTATTACTTCTGGATGTACTGTTCTGTTTGATATTAAAATAGAGAGTTAATTCTTTCTGGTTGTGGATTTGACTGTGAATTGTTGGATAGATTGTTGGTGTTATTGAGTAATTTGCAGGTCAGGTTCCATCAGATTCACAAGTTGTAGTTGCCATACTAGTTTGATGTTATTTGCAAAGATAATTACTTCATTTTGTTGTGTTATTGTTTTCACATCTTACTAGAATAATCTTTCTGTCTCTCTTTTTTAGATGTCTATGTGGATGACCGACGAAAGATACCTTGTGCTTAATGCGGGTGATATGGTCACTCGGCTGGATTTGATCCATAAAGTTNAAATTGTAATCTGTTACTTACACGTGTACTGCTGTAAATGGCAATTGTTACTCACGTGTATTGCTTGTACATATAAATGAGTTTGTAAACTCTGTACAGTTAGTTAATAAAAAATACAACAGTAACAAACTTTACTCTTTTTTCCCTCTCAATTCTTATTCACAACTATGTAGATACATTGTATTCTATATTAAAGGAGTTGTACTATTACGTACGTGTCAAATTATACCTAAATAATCTCGTTTAATTAATCATTTTTCTTAACCTCTGGAACTTTTGTGAACAATTTCTTCAATGCATGGATCCCTTTGTCAGCAAAAGAATCAACGTAGTCCTCATATCGATCATACAGAAAGGGCAACGTTTCTGAGCAGAGTAAACCTTTAGGCACAACAAATTTAGAGAAACAATTTAATAGGCCAATTCAAGCTTCAATTTTTAAATCATGGAAATTAAATTAATGTAATTAATTAAGGTGAAGATTCTTACCGAAATAAACGAGATTTAAGAAGTTGAAATGGTTTCCAATTACGGACAATATGTAGAGACAAACAATACTCTGATGAGAAAATAAGAATAATTAATTGTTAATGAAATTATCGCCAAGCTTAATTAATATAGGTAAGCTTAATTGTATTGTAGCCTCCTAACTCTTTTGATGTAAAAAATTAATAATATTACCCCATAATTTAAAAATCAACAGAAGAAATGTACAATTAGAGTAATTTTTCCTACACTTATAGTCTTATATCATTTCAAAAAAAGAAAAAAAAAAATCTAACATTAAAATAAAAAAATTTAAGAACTGTCTTAATCCTTTGATTTAAGAAACTAATAATGTTACCTCTAATTTTTAAAGTTAAATGTTCAGATCAAATAGGAAAGAAATAACATTGTTAGTTTTTACGATCAGAGGATAATATTTTCTTAAACATTCTATTATATGGTTGTAAAGCATACCAGAAATATGAGAATTGGATTAATTTCAATAACCAAATCTTTTCCATATGCAAGGTCGATAAGCTCCATTAGTACCTGTTATTGTAGAATTGTGGAAGCACTTTAAAATTAATGACAAATTAAATAATTCATTAATTACACACAGAACATAATAATTTAATATGATTTGACGTAAAGTCTATTTTAAAAAAAAAAAAGAAAAAAAAAAAGAGAAATTCATTAACATACACGATAAGATTAATAATACTGACAAAATCCTTAAGACTCCCAAGGTGCAACACTCACAAATTGTCTTTGCATGAGATGATTTGATTGTCAACGTATAGGAATTATAATCGTAATTAATCTCTTTAGAAAATATACTTTTATCCCCTTTTATTAGTTGTATTTGTATTTGTATTTTAATATATATATATATATTTTTTTAAAGAAATATAAGCTCATAATCATAAGAAAATTATAAAAAGAAACCAAGCGAAATTCTTTACAACACCTCATTTAATCTCTCGCAGAAGGTTGAAATAACTTCTCTTAATGTTGATTCACTTACTATAGTTTCCTTGAGAAAAAACCTGAGATTTTCACGTAACAGTTTAATGAAGATAATGTCTTGGATATATAAAAATTACAATTCTAACAGTAAAATTATGTTATAATGCAAGAGGAAGGCGTTTTAGTGTGAAGAAGAAACAAATACCGATAATCGAAATATATTTGAATTCTGAACCAAATGAAAGCCACAAGCAACGTGGCCATAGAAATGTGACAGAAGAGAGTCACCAAACGGTACTCCATAACCTCGAAAAGAGACCATATCACTGTCATCCCTATCAACAGCGAGGCTGCTGCTGTTTTATTCTTCCATAACAAGATATCCGCAACTGAGAATTGAATTCAGTAATTTTGTTAATTTTTCATCGACAATGAGTTGGCAAAATTGAATTACGTAAAATATATGTAGTACCTTTTCCTCCTCCAAGAATGGCATGTACGGACCTTTGACGCCCAAATAACCTTAGTTGTTGTTCGGGGGGCATTGTTACTGGCGCGGTTTCGTTCCTGGAGTTTGGCTGCACTGTTAATTAATTTTTATGTTAATTAATTTGGCGAATGTGCTTTTGAGATATGCATTTTACTCCAATTTAAATAAATGGACATGAAGGCACTAGGCTTCTCACGAGAATTGTGTAACTCCATTGAAGAAGTAAGGAATGTCTCGGGGATTTTCTTTAAAAGAACAGAAGTTTGAATATCTTTTTGAAGAAGCCTTCTATGATATTGGCCAACCATTGCATAAATTTCGGAGAAAGAATTTAATTAATGTGTATATTTAACTTGTTACTTTTTTTGAAAGTATTTTTATTTAAAGGTGTTATGCCTAAAAAGTTAGGGCTGACGTGGACTCATCAACAAGTGCCAATCAGGGATCAGGAAGGTTTTGTACCGTCGAGGCGCTGTCACGTCGCGTAGTGAAGGAAGAGGTATGGTTCTTGTCAGTGTAGCAGGTGAGTGCAAGTGAGTGCCAGACTTGCGAGTGGTTAGGAATTATCCACCTGCCCGAGCCCTACGCAATTTGAGCATATTTCTCGTGCAGGTAACCAATGAGATGCAAAGAAGGATTTGCATAGCACCTACCCACTTGTAGACTTGTAATCATTACCTTGAACTCTCCCACTATAAATAGAGGACACCCCTCTCATTTACGGAATTGGCTAATCTTAGACTAAAATAGCTTGCACATTTTCTCTCTCTTTTTGTATTCTCTCTAGATTATAACTCAGTTCGTCGCACGCGACTTGATTTCATCCATCTATTAATACAATAGTAGTGGATATAGGATTCGCTTTTGAGCATCCGAACCACTTTAAATATCGCTTCTCATTAATTGTTTCATTTCATTTTTCCTTATCACATGTGATTTCTAAGTCCGTTTAGTACTTTGCACGCGTGAGTCATTGGTGTCAAAATCAAGTATCAACAGTTTGGCACTAGAAGAAGGGCCTGATTTAGTAACTGCTCTTCATTAGAAATCTCAGACTAATCGGTCATACCAATCAGCAAATGACTCGCGGTTTCGAACATGAGCGAACTGACTATGACAATGAGGAAATCACCTAGCTACAAGAGGACACTTCTCCCAAAGTGCCGCAAGTCCAACAGAGTATCATGACGAATATTCCTTCAAGCTCGTGGCTCGACCTAGCCGTCATGAGTTACTTGGACAGGTTCAATAATACTTTCCAAACGATTAGCCGAAGGCTAAGCCGTTTGGATCAGGTCATGCCACCAGAATCCAATAAGGCAGTGCCAATGGCAAAAAAACCTGCAGGTCACGTGAAAACGCAAAAAAAGGAGAAAGCCCATATTGCGCGCACTACAACGCATCAAAGAAGGGGAAAGCAAGTGGCAAACACGGACCAGAGGGCTCCGGGGGACCAGTGAACACCAATCGCGCAAAGGGTAGAATACCCCTGGCACTACGACTCGACGACATGTCACAGCATGAGCCGTCCCACGCCACATCGCATGGGCACTCCCACAAAGGTGCAAGGCGGGGAGATTCCCAATATCACCTAAATGACGACCTCGACCGTCGTCATCCGAGAAATCCCAGTCGTCTGCGGGTCGGTTCGGACCATCGCGGAGATAGAGAAAATTCCCCAAATCACTCAATGCCATAACATGGCTCTAGTCAGCGTGTATCAAGGTTTACCGGAGCTTTCGATTGCGTCGAGGAAGAGCCTGATTTGCGATCTTTTCTCAACCGCAACCATGAGGGTTGAACCCACGTTGCGGAAAATGATCCCCAAGCAGCTTCGCTACCTCAGATTGAGGAACTACAACGAGCGTTGGATCAACTTAAGGCTCAACAAAATGAGTGTAAGAAGGTCACGAAGGTGTCTTCCTTTTCTCCAACAGTGTTAGTTGCTCCTCTCCCATCAAGATTCAAAATGCCCGACATGCAGGCATTCAATGGGAATTCAAACCCACAGGATCATTGTACAAGTTCAACAACCTCATGGAACTCCACCAAGTCTCTGACTTGGAAAAATTTCATTGCTTAGCAGTAACCCTAACTGCCCATGCCAGCGCTAGTTCAGGTCGCTTCTTGCCGAATCAATCAGCTTATGGCCTCAAATAAGCTCGTCATTCCTGAGACACTTCTAGGCGAATAAGAAGTTCTCAATGTCGTTGAGCTACCTGAGCAACATATGGCAGGAGAGGGATGAATCCCTCCAATCTAACATAGACAGATTCCACAAGGAACTCTACAAAGTGGCTCATACTCTCGAAGAGTCAGTTCAGACTCTCATTATTGCGAGAGTTCGCCTGCAGATGGATTTGTGGAAGGAACTAAAATCTGAAGATGACGTTTCCCTTACCCATTTCTATAACCTCGCCAAAAAATACCTCTAAATTGAAAATTCCATGGCCGTTCTTAATCGCCACAACCCATGTCCCTCTAGTAGTGCCCCCAACCAGGGGGAGAATAGAAGGACTGATCGTAGATGGGCTAATGACGATTAGTGGAAAGGAAAGAAGCAGCAGAAATCTTATGCCCCAGTTTCTCATCGTGATCGCGACAAGAATCAATACACTCCTCTGAACGCCTCAGTATCGACCATTCTAGATAAGTCAGAGGAGGCCAGCTTGCTCGGAGAGCCAAAACCCATGAAGAATCCCCTCTCAGCCAGAAACAATAAAAAGTACTGTCGCTATCATAGGGATTATGAGCATCACACTGATGAGTGTCGAGCCCTCAAGCAAGCAATCGAAGATCTCATCAAGTAGGGGCACTTCAAAGAATATGATAATGGCCCAACTCTCATTTAGGAGAAAGATTAAGAGGAACTAGGGAAGAAGCATCATGGTCGCAAATGACTCTATTATGTGGGGATCATCTTTGGAGGACCACACTTCGCAGGGAATTCTCGAGGTGCCCAAGGGAGGTATGCTCAGAAAGCTCGTCATGACCTCGTAAGTGTAATGAGCATGGCGTCGCGACCCGCTAAGGTTTGCAAAGAGGAGAAGACCACCTTCTATGAGAAAGATGCGGTGGGATTGCATCAACTCCATGAGGATGCTCTCGTCATCGCACCTGAAATAGGCCGGTGCGAAGTCCACAGGATGTTGGTGGATAATGGGAGCGTCGTAAATATCCTGTTTCAGCGAGCTTTCGAGAAAATGCAATTGGACGAGGCAGACCTGAAGCCTGCCTCTATCATTCTTTATGGTTTTACTAGGGATCATCTGATTCCTAGGGGAACGATCTCGCTCCCGATCACGTTAGGAGAAACCGAAAAAATGACCAAGATAACATAATTTTTGGTAATAGACTGTCTGTCCGCCTTTGATGGAATTTTGGGACGGCCTCTACTGAGAAACTTCAAGGCAGTCACCTCCATTTACTATTTGAAAATGAAGTTCCCTACCCTGATGGGGATAGGGGAAGTAAACGGATCTCAACGCGAATCTCGCGACTACTACATAAGAGCAGTACAGATGGCGTGTAAGGGAAGAGGAATACCAGTTGGCATCCCCGAACAGGCAATGGCGATCAATAGGATCGAGCCACAGCTCAGCCTGATAAAGGATAACATGGATCCTCGCATCCAAAAGTGCCCTCATAGTGGGCCAGTCGAGGATTTATCTGAGTATCAATCGATAAAAATGAGTCAACCCGAGTGTTGAGAATCGAGAGTAATCTCAACCCTCAACTCACCAAAGACCTAACAGGTTTCCTTAGAGAAAATGTCTACGTGTTCGCATGGACTCATGCTGACATGATTGGGATCAGCCCGAATGTCATATGCGTTGAATATTGATAGTGTGGTCAAGCTGGTTCGCTAGAAGAGAAGAGCAATGGACCCTAAACGTTATGCTACCTTGAAAATCAAGGTAAATAAGCTCATTTTGAATGGGTCCATTCCAGAGGAGCTTTACCCTAGCTTGGTTGTAAATCCGGTCTTGGTAAAGAAGGCTAGTGGCAAGTGGTGAACTTGTGTTGACTTCACCAACCTCAACAAATTCTATCCGAAGGACAGTTTCTCCTTGCCAAGAATCGACTAACTCGTCGATGCTACCTCTAAACACGAGCTGCAGAGTTTTATGGATGCCTACTCGGGATATAATCAGATTCTGATGTATGCGTCGGACGAAGAGCATACCTCGTTTGTTACAGATCGGGGCCTGTATTGTTACAAGATTATGCCCTTCGGCTTAAAAAACGTTAGGGCAACTTACCAGTGGCTGGTTAACCAAATGTTTTCTAAGCAGATCAGAAAATCGATGGAAGTTTATGTTAATGACATGCTGGTCAAATCGTATGTCACTTCAGATCACATAGCACATCTCGTTGAGATATTCAGCGTACTCCGAAGGTATAAAATGAAGATCAATCATCTCAAATGCTCATTCGGAGTATCCTTGGGAAAGTTCATGGGATATATGGTTAACTAGAGGGGAATAGAAATCAACCCTGAGAAGATCCGAGCTCTCCTTAATATGAAAAGCCCAACCAACCGATAACAGGTTCAGAGTCTCAATGGGAGAATAGCGACTCTTAGTCGCTTCATATCAAGGGCAACAGATCACTGCTTGCCATTTTTTAATATACTCATGGCCAACAAAAAATTTGAATGGACTCCAGACTGCGAGCAGGCTTTTCATAGCATAAAAGAGCACCTCAGAAAGCCACCTCTCTTGTCCAAGTCTCTCCCCGAGAAAATTCTACTCCTGTAGCTATCCGTCTTTCAGCATGCGGTCAGTGTAACTCTTATTCAGGAGGAAAGCAAAGTCCAATGGCTGGTATATTACGCGAGCAAGCGACTACTGGATGCCGAAATGCGGTATCTAGAAATGAAGTGATTAGTTTATGCCCTGCTGATCACCTCTAGAAAGCTGCGACCCTACTTCCATGACCACACAATCCATGTCTTCACCAATTATCCACTCAAGCAAGTCCTTTAGAAGCCAGAGGCTTCGGGTAAGTTAATCAAATTGACAATGGAACTAAGTTAGTTCGATCTGCGTTATA